CGAATGAGAGGGTCGATGTGTGCCTGCTGATCCATTGCTGGGGTAAACCCATGAGGGATGGGATCAACTAACACCCGACGCACAACCACGTCCAAACATTGCAGCTAGCTCCTCATAGCCGATCTCACATAGTTCTCCCACTAATCCACACAACCAATTGAGATCATTCGCCTAAAGATGTTGGGAGGACAACCTAGGTGTAGTACATCATCAACTACAATGCCATCATCTCCAAGGCAATGCAGCTCCTCTCCCGCCCTTGCAACCATCTCACTAAATGAAGGCTTATCATTGAATAGCACATGCACGCTTTGCATGTCAACAAACTCAACATATCCGTAACGATCGCTTTCAACGGTGCCTCCATGATATATGGTCACTAGGTTGTCCATCTAGTTCAAACACGTAACGAAACACATGTCGTTTAGTCCAAATTAGACGATAGATAATACCTAACAAGTACTTTCTAACTACAAACTAACTAAATAAGATAATAACTACGTGTATATATATACAGTGTACTCACTAAATAGTTAGTTCATATTTAGTTAACTAAATATGTAACTACATATCTAAGTAGCTATCTAACTATATCTATGTACTTATGTATCTATGTTTCTATCTATCTACATATATCTCACTAGACCACTAACTAAATCAACTACCTGAGTCATCATATTAACTAGTAAATAACAAATGTCAACTAAGTAGGTATATTGCATATTCATAATTTTTACCTTTCCAACGACTGATCCGTGGACGTCGACGGAGTCGCAGCGGACGATGGGCGTAGGTCAAGCCGACGATCTAGGCCGGCGGTGGCACGACGGCCGGCTGCGCAGTGGCGGGTCGGATGTGGCGCGCCGACGACAACAATGATGGCCTTGGCGGCGGCGGATGCCCGAGGTTCATGGCTTGGCGAAGTCCGGCTCGACGGCGCAGGTGGCACGGCAAGGCGGGGCGAGGGCGAGGCCAAGGCAAGGAGAGGGCGCGGCGCGGGAGCAAGAACCGGCGAGGGACCGGGCGCGGCGAGAGGCGATGGCGGTCATGGCGGGCGGCGGCGGCGGCGGGCGCTGGCGAGCGGGCGGCGGCCCTTGCGGCGGTGGCGCGGCGCTGGCGGGCGCGGGCGCGGCATGCGCATGCGCGGCGCGCGGGGAGGCGGGAGGAGCGGCGGCGACGGCGGCGGCGACGAACCTCGGCTCGGCTCTGCTAGGGCGAGAGAGGGAGGAAGAGAGGCGCGGGGCCCATAGGTAGGCGCCGAGCTCCCTGTCATGTCATCCACCGAGCCCAGGACCTCGGCGCCAGGGACTCTGGCGCCGAGACGTGTTAGCTCGGCGCCAGCATCAATGGCGCCGAGCTAAGGTTCCATTTTCTGAATTCTTCCCTGGCGCCGAGACGTGTTAGCTCGGCGCCAACATCAATGGCGCCGAGCTAAGGTTCCATTTTCTTAATTTTTTCCGTCAGGGGTCTATTTGTGAGAAACTTTCAAAAAATAGAGCTAAATTGTAAAAAATTCGGTCCCGAGGGCCCTTTTAGGTAAGCCCAACCTTTTGCTTTTGGCAGACACGATTGAATTTGAACCATGGGTTTTCTTTCTTTTACTACTACTATCGATCAAAATCGACCTATCTCCTGGTTCAGTGGTTCAGTTCAATCCAGTCTAGACTGCTCACCACGTCACTGGCCTGTGGGACCAAAGCTTTGACATAAAATAAGGGTGAGTTTGGTAGAGATCCGGGAGTCACTTTTTGTTAGAAACGTTTCTTCTGGTGAATCAGAATCGCTTTCTCAAATCGTTTGGCAAGTTGGTCAGATTCTGATTCTTGAATGGTGGTGAAAACCATTGGTTTACATGAAAAAAAATAATGAAAATATATAGGTTTTAGAAAAAAAAATGAATTTCTTTATAGTCGAAGATAAATCAAAAGCAACCAATTTTAATTGGTTTCACTTGAAGATGATCACTAGAAATATTTCTAGATTAGATGGGAGGTAGGAATGTAAGAGACTCCGGAGGTGATTCCGATCTCTACAAAATGAGAGAATCACTAGAAATGTTTCTACCTAGAATTAGTATCGTGTTTGACAGTTTGGAAGTATTTCTAGTGATTCTTGAGAGAATCGAAACCGATTCTTGCATCAAGCGTACCCTAAGACTGCTACCTGCCTGCGTGTCGTCTTTCCCCCGTTAGCTGCTTGGCATTGCAGCACAAGGCTTGCCCTCTAGTCTAGCTAGTTCACAACCGAAGAGAGGAATTGCAATCCTTGCACATTACTAGCTCGTCCTACACGAGTAATGTCATGTTTCGACCGGCCACATATAGTTGTCGACCAGCATACAGGAGAAGGTGAGCAAGCATGCATGCTGTTGCCGGCGGCAAGCGCAATCGATGGCACTCAAGTGACCCTGTCCCCGGACGTCAACATTGCTACGACATTTCGGGTGGAAAAAAGGGAAATGCTAGAAAGCTACGCGCATATAGCGCCATACGACGCCGCAGCAATGCATGCAGCTAGCGGCACTCATGGTGTCACGCACGAGGGTATGTAGTAACGTCGTCGTAGCATATATATACTCCTATGTTCAAGGAGCGGTCTCGTCAATCGTCATAATTCATAAGGGGAAGGAGGAAAGAGGCGTACGTTGAAGGAAGAAGCTTTACTACGGTCTGTATGTATATGGTACAATTATTCACCGCACTATCCACTACTCACACGAAAAAAGCAACAAAACGGTTAGTCCTTACGCTGTTTCCATAAATCAATTCTATGCAGTTGCAGGAAGATTCCTTAGATTCTTACATTATTTATTTATACCGAATGAATTAATTTCACACCGTTTCTTGCGTTTCAACCTGCCAGAAGGTAAACTCTCATCTGTTAATCTCTAGCATAGCGTGGCCTTTTTTTTTGACATGGACCCTCATCGCCGGCTCAAATACATTACTATACTTGCTCTTAGATCACCGGTATTGGTTGTTTCCTTTTACGTAATATCGAAACTAGAGGTTTTTTACTAGGATGGTATAGCTACGGCTATTTTAGGTCAACATCTTTCGGCGTTCGGTAGAAACGTATTGTCTGAATATTTAAACTCTTCTTTTTAATATAATGATACACAAATATGTTGCATATTTGAGAGAAAAATCACTGGTACTAGGTTGGTCTCTAGTAGACACGACATAAACATCCTCTGTTCTAGTGCCTGCTAAGCCATTACTCTAGCTAGAAAGATTTCATGATCCATGGTGTCCTGTGTGCCAGAGATTAAGCATTATCCACCACTAACAGGAAATCCAGCTTAAAAATCCAAGGAATTAATTTCTATAGCTCCAAGAAATTTTGGATATGGAACTGGAGAAACGTATCGAGCATTTAAATGATTCATTTTGTTTATAGTTTAGACTAGATATAAACACTGAACAGATTAAATTGAAATCATAAACAATAGAGCCAATCCAAATCCGGATGCTAATGCTGCACTAAAGCAGCCTAAGATCTTCGCGATTTCAGTCGCTTGAGATCTAGCACGTATATTTTTCACACACAAAAAAAAACACCGTGTTGTTGCTAGACGCTTTTTTGTCTCTTTGTCTATGCGTTACAGGGAAACATCGTGGCAGGGGAGTTGGAGGATGATACTCCATACTTCCGCCTTTTCCATACGTGGGCCTCGTTTAGATTGTAAATTTTTACAATCTGGACATTATAGAATGTTTCGTTTGTATTTGACAAATTTTGTCCGATCATAGACTAACTAGGCTCAAAAGATTCGTTTCGTGATTTATAACCAAACTATATAATTAGTTATTTTTTTACCTACATTTAATACTTCCATACATGCGTCTAAAAATTAATATGATTAAAAGAATGAAAAAACTTGGAATTTTAAGACAATCTAAACGAGGCCGTGAAATCAATTCACCAGCTTCCAGGCGAACCAACCAACTACCCGGGCCCACGCAACAGGATGTTTTCCACCGCCGCAGCCCGCAGTCATGTGGTTTGTGCAGAGTACATCGACAACAACAAAGAAAACCGCAATAATTAAATACTACGTAGTATAGTACGCGTTTACGTAGTCATACAGTCGCCGTACGCTGCGCCCTACGTATGGACGTGAGGAGGCGTGTACAGCACCATGCAGTCCGCATGCACGAGGCGGGAACCACGAGCCAGGGGTGGACAGTGTGGGGACGCACTCGAGCGACGGCGGCGATGCGGCCACGCGTCCACGTGGCCCGCATCCAGCGGCATGCTAGTGCCAGCCTGAAAAGGAAGCAAAGTACAAGGGTGCGCCCCTCTGCCCTGACACGTCGCTCTCCTGGCCCCGTCCTAACCCCGTTGACCACTGCGCTTTTGTGGTTTCGCGGTTTTTTCTTTTTCCCCCCTTATAATAACGTCCAAAACACGTGAAACGACATATACCAACAGGGTCCAGCTCCTGTCGTTGTGGCTTTTCACAGGGATCGTTTTTAGAGAGACAAAACACGACAAAATATAATTAGCATAGGTAAAGACAACAATAATGTAATAATGGCACAGCAGAAAAATTATGGCAAAAAAATCAACCGCATGATGAAAAATCATAATAGAAAAGCCGACGCAGAAGGGACCATATCCATATAAGAGGTGACAAAGCAACATGCCAGCCTTTCGGTTTTATTTTCTGCCATTTCACATCATTCCCCCCTCTTCCATCCCAATATGTTCATCCACCATCCTCACCTTCTTGAGCACCGCCGAAAAAATTACCATAACTAGGCTCGAAAAAAAGACAAGCTAGGAAAAAGGAACTACTACTAAATGACAGCCGCCGCCACCACCACTCCCACCAATTCTCCATCCCCGTCACTTTACCTCGAGAGGATTAAAGTAGAAGGAAAGAATTGAAAAAAGAAAAAGGGTAAAAAAAAAATTGGAAAAGGAGCAGGGCTGCAGTAAAAATCTCCGACTCTTCGATCCAGCTGCGAAATTGCCCGCTTGACTCGGTCAGCCGCCTACCCCCACTGCGATGGTGGGCCCATGCAGCGTTTCTTCGCGTCGCCGCCGCCGCCTCGTCCGTTGGTCGCCGATCCAATGGTCCAGTCGCTCTCCGAGGCGGAGCTGGCGCTGCGGTGGTGACCGAGCACCGTCACCGGCGTGTCCGCGCTCGCAGCGGCCCGCCCCGGCCCGACGCCGCACGCCGCCGCCAGCACCTCACCGCACTCCCGCAGCTTCTCCTGCGCAAGGGCAAACAGTTTAGCACGAGAACCACCTGTTCCTACAGATCGCGCATTTCAGGTACCAAAATGATGAGACAGTTTACGATGATCGCATTGTTAATGCCGAGAGCGAGGGCTGGTACCAAAATGGTACTGTGCGCGGCTGGATTCTACTCTATATGGCTGATTTTCTTTCACAAATAACTCTGAATTTATCTAGATTTCTTTAAATTCCCCCAAACAAATAGTACCACGGTTTTACTGGACGGTCAATTTGCCCCCATGAGCTCCACTCCCCGAGGAAAACAGGTTAAAAAAAGATGAACAGCAGTAAATAACTGGAACACCAGAAGCGGCCAGTCCCAAAGGATCTGGACAATCGAGTCCGTTTGACGTGGCAGGGGTAATTACGTGAATTAGTGACGATTAAAGGGGCTTAATGGAAATAAACCGTATGGTTTACAAAATCATGCTCACGCTATTTACAAAGGGACAGGCGGCCACGCCGGCTTGGAACGCGGGGAGGTTCCCGGCGGCGACCTCTCCGGCGGCGGCCAGCAGCGCCGACGCCGCCACCACGGAAGGCGAGAACTCTGCCATCTTCACCTCTGCAAAAGACACAGCAACAAGAGTTCACTACAACCACAAGGGGACAATGTTGGGATTCCTCTTGTCTTGGATGCCATGCCATGGCATTGGGCGAGGTAGGGCGTGGGCGGCGCACGTACCGGGCTGAGCGCGGAAGAGAAGGTCGACGGCGCGCGTCTTGACGGCAGCCACCTGCGGGGGATGCCGGGGCGGCGGGTAGCACGCGGAGAGGAAGAAGCCGAGGAAGGCGAGCGGCGTGACGGAGCGCGCGCGCCACTCAAGCACGCCCAGCACCCAGCGCTCCATGCGACGGACGGTCGCCGCGTCGAACATGAAGTCCTCGTTCCTCTGCAAAACAAGGCAACCGCAACACAAAAACACCGGCAATTTGGGAGTTAATATCCAGAGCAAGCGCTCACCAAATCGCAAGCAAGAGGCACCAAAATCTTGTACCTGGATTTCGTCGATGGAGAATGTTGCGACGCGCTGCATCTTTGCGGCGAGGGAGAGGCAGCTGAGGGCGAGCAGCCGCGGCCACGGCTGCTGCTCGCACTGCATGGAACCAAAGGGGGATATATCAGATCAGACCGAATTTCCCAACAAATCGTAACAGAGAATACACCCATCTCTCGCGAGTGACGAGTCCTTACCGCCAATTGCCGCTTGGAGAGGAAGCGATCCACGTAGTTGAGCGCGAGGTAGGCGACGCGCGGGTGCACGGCGAGCTCGCCGCCGAATCGCACCTGGACCGATCGAGGCCGATCGGGTCAAGGAACAGCGGAAATCCCAAACAGAGAACCCAGAGAGCAGCGAGAGCGAATGCGGCGGCGCGTGCGGGCGGCCCCGTACCTTGGAGATGAAGGCGACGGCGTTCCGGCGGGCGGCGGAGGCCGCGGCGGAGACGGAGGGCGCGTGGTGGGCCTCGGCGTCGAGGAGACTGGCGATCGGCTCGTCGGCGGGGCTGGTGAAGGGGTTCTCGAGGTCGAACTCGAACTCGTAGTCGTAGGCGGCGTCCTCCTCCGGCAGCTCCCACTCCTCCGTCGCCATGACCACGGCGGTGCCGCGCCCGCGCGAGGGGCGGAGAGGCAGCCCAGGCGAGCCGAGGAACACGCCAAGAAGCGTGAGCGGTGAGATTTATGCGGCGGGGGAAGCCACCATTGCTGCGGCGCAGTGCTACTGCTAGTACTAGCTCTGTCAGGTTGGGAGACGGCCTTTAATAGCTAGGGGGCCGGGGACAATGCTACCAAAAGTTGGGGATTCGGGGTTCTTTTTGTAAAGATCGGGAGCATGAGAAAAGCGAGAGAGAGGAGAGGAGGCAGAGAGGGAGAGAGGCAGGGTAGAAGAAAGCTTCGGTCCCCACCTGTCAGTGAGGTCAAATTGGGCCTCTGCGAGGCCTCTTGGCTCCATGCGTCTTTGACAGCTCAGGTCCAACACGCAAGAAAATGGCTATTTGTTGCTTGAAAACTGTTGGTGCTGATAGAAAACAAAGTCTCAAATTACGCTTGGCCTCATTCCTCCGATCCTGATTTTAGGCCTCGTTCCTCCGATTCTGATTTTAGGTCTCGTTTAAATTTAGGGGGTAAAATTTTATGTTGTTATATCAGTGTCACATGGGTGTCGTATGGGGTGTTCGGATACTAATAAAAAAATAAATTACAGAATCCGTTAGTAATATACGAGACAAATTTATTAAGCCTAATTAATCTATTATTAGTACATGTGATACTGTAGCACAACATTATCAAATCATAAGCTAATTAGACTTAAAATATTTGTCTCACAAATTAATCATAAACTATATAATTAATTATTTTTTAATTTATATTTAATACAATATGCATGTGTCAAAGTATGTGACGGGAAAGGGGAGAAACTGAGCTGAACGAGATCGAATGCCTCACGCTACTTTTGCAGTTTTGCTGATGTTTGCGCAGCTTTTATCTGAGGCCCGTACCACGGTACCATCGTAATTTAATTGCGCCCCTCACGTATTTTGTCATTGTCTACCTGCACCTCGTGTAGGAGAATTGTAATTTTGTTTTTTCTTTTTGAGACGTAGTACTGTAATTTTGTTGATGAGGATACTCTGCAATACTGATTTTGTATTGGATCCCGTAGCTTCCCGCGAATCTATATCTCCTATAAAACGAAAACCTATTTACCCCGTTTTAAGTTCTATATCACACCACGATGCGTTTTATGCCATCCGTTGCCTCTCTACCTTCACCTATATCAGTTTCGACCAACAATATAGGGTGTGTTTGGTTCGCATTTTAGTCCTCGCCTGGCTAGCCAACTAAGCCAGGACAACACAAGACTGGCTTCCCCAATGCAAGGTGTTGTTGTTTGGTTTACTTATCTTAGCTAAGCCTGGCTTACCCAGATCATGTTTGGTTGTCTGGTTAGCTCGAACACAGTCACCTCATCCCCATTCAGGTAAGGTTACCTCATTGAGGCATTTTGTCGAACATGTTAAGGGCGCCTCCGTCGTCTCGAGCAAGGGGCTCGTGGCGCATCACCAGCAAGGAGCTCGAGCGCAAAAAGCGAGCACCTCCATGGGACAGCATCGGCCATGGCACACGTGCGGAGGTGACCCTACGCGGATTCCCGGCGGCTGCAGCGACCCTGTGCGGAGGAGGACACATCGGCCATGGAAGAGGAGGTGCTGCGCGTCGATGGCGTCTTCGCGTCCGGCCTGCTCCGTACGGCTGGATGCAGGTTCCACCAACGAGCTCGAGCGACTAGATGCGTGTGCCACCGACGAGCTCGAGCAGCGGGATGCGGGGTGGAAGGTGAGGCCACACCAGCGGTAGTGAGGTTGGAGCGGGAGGACGAGGTGGAGCCCCTGCCACGCCACGCGAGCTCTGCAAATTTTTGTGAACCTAACAAATTTTGTTTCACTATTTTTGGATACCTACAACATTTACTATCATTTTTCAAAGTTCAGCTCAAAACCAAATTGAATAAACATTTATTAATTCACTGGAAAATGAAAAAACGAATTCCTCGTCGTGGCCCGCGAGCGAGCGGCTCGGCCCACTCCAGCGCCCCGCACGTGCGCACGCGCAGCACACCGGAGCGGCCCACCCGGCTCGGCCCACGCGCGACAGTGGCCCAACACGGGGAGACCCACGCGCGCGCCGACGATTATGCAAAAGAGACCACGGCTTTCAACTAAATGAACCCGTAGTCCTTTCCACTATTCCTCTCTTTCACTGACGCTCTCACTAACCCCCCGGCTTGTTTCGAATTCACGTTACAACGTCCCTGGCCAGAACTTAACAGAGGCCGCGGCCCCTCCGACCTAACGCCGGCGAGCACGGACCTCCTCGGCAGCAATCCTCACCACCACGACACTCCTCATCACAAGTGCATTCGATAAAAGTAATAAACACCACGATTGGTGCCGCACATAGGCGTGGCCACGCACCACGGTGGGGTTTGGCCGCGGTGACACCGGCGCCGGCGAATTAACCTAGCCCAACGACTCTCCCGCTACCCTTGGAGCTAAGGTGCTTCACCAGATACGTGAAGGACGGGTGAAAGGTCCTAATGGCTAGAGGAGGATTGAATAGCCTATTAAGAATTTCTACAACAACACTTAGCAAACCGGTTAGACAATTATGAGGCGAAGAAAGTGTTACGCTAGCCTACTAAAAATACAAGCCACTTACACAATTCTAGTTTCTATAGTTTCTAACCACGCAATGGCTATATCACTATACTAAGTCAGTGTGCTCTCAAAGGCTAACTAAAGAGTCACACTAACCAAACTAACAAGCTCTCACAACTAGCTACACTAAAGAGCTTAATAACTAGTTTGCGGTAATATAAAGAGAGTGAGCAAGTGTAACACCCTCGGTGTTATATTGTACAGTTTTTGCTAAAACCATGTCATGAGCATCATGTTTATGTATTATTACATGTGGTAAAATGAGAAATTAAATTTTATTGCACTAATTCTCAATTTGAGCTCTATTTTATTCCTTGTCCAAATACTCTCCAGCACAGCTCAACTCACTATTGTCATCATGATCCAACTCCGTCTCTCGCTATTTCATCTCCTTCATGATCCCCGGAGCACGTCCTCAGCACACTCGTAGAGCAAGCTCGCGTAGCACGCTTGCAATACCCTTCACTAGTAAGTTTCGCCACAGTGTCATTACTTCGTCGTGTCATGAATGGTGAGTTAGGCAGCAGCCTCTAGCGTGTTGCACGCGCTCTTCAGCAAACGAAGATGACCGACCGCAGCAGCTCGTAGAAATTCGCGTGCCATCCATTAATGCCATGCTGTAGGGCTGCACGTTCTTACCCTGTGCTAGCTGACCATGATGCTCCTCTCTGCGCAAGTCGTCTTCTCCACAGGCTCAGCCCGCTGAGCACGCCGCTCACTCGCTACCCGCGCAACACGTTCATGCACCAGCAGCACCTACACGTTAAGCCCAAAACACACTCCTCAACTAGCCACGTGCATGCAAGTCCAAGTGTGACTAATCCAAATACCTTTTCTTTTCTCAAAAGTGGATTAGCACCCAATATTAAGACCAGCAATATCTCCATCAATCTCGCGACGCGCCACTGTCCTCTCTCGTTGTTCTAATCACCCCTACCTTTACTTCGCTTGCTAATCGCCTTGCAAAATTATCAGCGCACGTCGCGCTGTCGCTGCCATAGTGTGTCGCGCACGCCAGGCGTTTTTTCCAGTGCCAGCTCCACCTCTAGCCCCGCGTCTCCTGCCTATAAACGACACGCCGCGCAACCCTCCCATCACGCCGAGCTCCAGAGCTGCGCTCCGTCGCTCGCCATCTTACTCCCCAAATCGAGTTTCTATGTTCTTACCTGAGAAAGCTGCGCTCTGTCGAACTTCCTTACTAAGCTGCAATCAACCGAGGTCGCCATCCTACAAAAATCCTCTCCTTCTCCGTTATTTTCTTGACCTGCGGTCTCCTTCTCCCTTCTTAATCCAATTAGCACATATGCACTCTTTAATGCCAACCCAGTTGACACGTTGAAGGACCAAAGACCCACTCAAGTCCATCACGTGAAATCCAAACACTGTTCACCATAGAAAACACTATTCAACCGAGCAGCACGTCGTGCACAAGCAGCACTTTATTACCTTTAAGCAAGCTAGTTAGCCACTAACCTTATGACGCGTCGCTGTCGCGCCTTCGCTTCTCCTGCCTATAAAAGGGCAACACCGAGCTCGCCGCCGTCCTACGCCGCTGCTCGCTCCTCTCGCCTCTCCTCTCTCTCTCTCTCTCTCTCTCTCTCCGAGCTCCAGCTCATCCTGTCAATCTCCCTCTCCGAGCTGTAATCGACCGAGGTAGCTAACCTGTAAGATTCCTTCATTTTCCTTCTCCATTATTTCTAGACTCACAGTCACGTGTTGGTCAACAAGTCCAATAGCATGATTAGCCTCCTCCAATAATATCATTTTCTTCATCTCTAGAGCTCATTTGAATTTATTTATTTATTGTAAAATAAATTTTGTTAAATTCCTAAATTCATGATCTATCTGTTGGTATATTTTATTCGCATGGTTCTGCGATGTTTTAGGGTTACTTATTAATTCTAGGTTGCTTGTTATTATTATGGTTATTTAGGGAATGACTTTTTGTGATGCATTGGTAGAAATGCTAGACTCATGATAATATTAGATGCTCTCTGTAATTTTTGTAGCCTCTGAATAGCTAATTTATTAAGATAGCTAACATACCCTAATTTTAAGCATATTAAATTATTTAAGAAATTAGTTGGTATGAGATCAGTACAGCTAGCTTGTTAGCATGATAAGCGTGTTCTTATTTTAAGAGTTGCGGTTGCCTAAATATTAATTATTGCATCATCATCGCTGCATGCATATAGAGAATGAGCCACTGGAGATCGTGACCTTCGACGAGCAGGAGTACGACAAAGTCATCGAAGAGTACGAGGAGGAGATCCTCGTGCAGGAGGGAGTCCCGGAGCCATCAGTTGCTGACTTTGCTGACCCGTCTGCCCAAGGCAAGCCCCGGTGCATAACCCCTATTTTTTATCACTAAATA